TGGCACAGGACAGAGCAGAGTTTAGGGCTGTTGTACACAGGGTCGCTATGAGTCGCAAGCAACTCGACGGCACATAACAACAACAACAACAACAATTTCTTATTCCAAGTATGCTTTCCTTGTCATTAAATGACAAAGACCAGATATTAGTGATCATTCACCTGGGCTAGAGCCATCATCAGAATGAAGTTAACCACATAATGAGAGGACAATGTCCCATGTTTTCCATTCTTCAGTTGGTAGATGTTTGAGTTGCTTTCTCATAATCAGAAGCAAAGCTAAGAGATGGATAGGGAGTCTTGTGTGAATTTCTAGATCCTGCTGTGCCTGGTGTCCATCCTGCCTGGTTTCCCTCTTATATGAGAGAATTAACATCCTCTCTTTTGCATTAACAAAAAAAAAACCAACAAAAAACCAACCATTATACATGCTAAAGTTTAAACTTTCTTTGGCTGAGGTTTGCCTCTGCCCTTCTTGACAATATAGGTGAAGAGGTAATGGGCTAGCAGTCTCTGGGTATCTGGCTGCAGGACGTGCCCCCAGGCCACATTTCCTGGTTGCAGTGCAAGCAGGAATCTGGTCAGAGAAAGGGGGAGAACTACCAGCTAGACATCCATGACTTCATGTCAGGCTCTGAGCTTATATATAGACACTTGAAAGAATCTCCCACTGTTTTGTGAGGTACACTTTGGAGAGATAGTTTAAACAGCAACAAACCTTCCCATTTCAAGTGTACATTTCAATCATTTTAAAAAATCTACAGAATTGTGCAAACAGCACCACCTCCCATTGTCTCAGAATATTCCCATGACCTTAAAAAGACCTTTAAACTTATTTACTGCCATTTCTTTTTTTTATTTTGAATATTTTTTTATTGGGAAAAATATATTGGGGCTACAAGGAGGTGAGGGTTGGGGGCAGAAGGGTGAGGATGGGCCAGGATGCAGTTGCAGAGCTGCACAGTTTGGTCGGTGGGGGGAGCAGGTGAAGGAAATGATGAGGGTCCAGTGGGGACCAGATGCTACAGAGGAAATGACAAGCATTTTCCAATAGTAATTAAACCAACCTGTCTTATTGATTTGGGAATTGGATGCTGACTCTCTGACTTCTTCATGCTGAGCAGGGGTTTTGATATAAAGGGGGGAAGGGAGGACGCTTTATCACCTTACTGGTGGTCTTGGGTTACAGCTGCTTGCCTTCTTGCTCTGTTAGAAGATATTTTCCTGTCATTTGCTCCCCTCTGGACTGCAAAGTGTTTTCCCAGGTGGGTCCAGTGTAGATGGCTGGTTGAACCCAGAGGCTCCATCCTCCTTTGCTTCCTTAGCTGTCAGTTGTATTTCCTTTTTGTCACTGGCACTGGGTTCAGGGTCAATTATGGAGTAAAACTCAGAGTTAAGGTTACCTATAGGAAAGGGAGCAAAACTAGAGAGAACAAACTTGTGAGTTACAAATAGAAGGGCTTTGAGGGTGTTGCTTTCAGGTTTACTGGGGGGGGGGGTGGCGGAAGGTGGCCTAGGTAACATTCTCTGGATACCCTAGGCATTCTTTTTTTCTTCTCCTTCCCCACCCCGGGGTCAGATGGCACAATCTGGGGACTGAGGAGCTCACCCTGAGGGCCGCGACGGATCGCCCCGAGCCGGGGGCCAAGCGCAGCCCACCCCGGGCAGAAGGCCACGACAGCTCGCCCCGGGCAGAGGGCTGCGACGGCTCGCCCCGGGCCGGGGGCTGAGGGCAGCCCGTATTTACTGCCATTTCTAATACCATCTCCAGTTCCTGGAAAACAATAGTCTACTTTCTGAGGGGGTTTTTCTGCCTTTCCTGAACATTTCATGTAAATGGAATTGTACAAAATGTGGTCTTTTTACATCAGATTACTTTCACATATTTTTGAGGGTCATCCATATCATAGTGTGCGTACCAGTTCTTCATTCTATTGAAAGCTAAGCAGTATTTTATTGTATGAATGTGTTAAATATTCCTCTTAGTCCTCAGTTGGTAGATGCACCCTTCCCTTGAGTTTTCCCACTCGTTGGATATCATGAATAATGCTACTATGAATACATACATACAAGTCTTTGCACAGACATATATTGTATTTCTCCTGGGCATATATGTAGGAGTGAAATTTCTGGGTTATGTGAAAAATTTCTGTTCAACTTTTTTTTTAAACACCGCCAATCTTGGCTTTCAATGTACTTGCACCTTTTCCCATCCCCACCAGTAATGTATGAGAGTTCCCACTTCTCCCACATTCCTGCCATGCCTCTCATTGGAGCGTTAGGGAATGACCTCTGACCATGGTCACCCAGCAGTGAGCAATGCAGAACAGAATCTGTTACCCACGACAGAGTGGACACCCTGGGCCAGCCTGGCCACTTGGTCTGCCAAGGATGCCAGGCAGCATGGTCTTGGCCAACAGGCTGCCATGGTCCTGCCTCACAGAAGCCATTCTTGAGTTTGGTCCTGGACACTTCATTTATTCATTATTTATTATTGTAATTATCTATTGTTATACCTCTTTCATAGCTGCCTGCCCTTAACTCCTGCCTCTTCACAAGAGGAATAATAAGCCCTTCTCTGCCAACCTAGCATCTTTACCTCTTTTCTGCCAATGCCTGGGTCCATATGCAACCTAAGAATGTCAAAGGAGAAAAGAAGCTACTTCATTCACTGTGGGCCAAGGGGAGGATTTGTCAGAGGACGTCTTGTCTAGGTATCATGAAGCAGACACATACGTGAGGCCTCTCCACCCTAGTGTGGATGCAGCAGCAAATGCAATTGCGCCCAGTTGTCCTAACCAGCCTTCTGGTCCCATCCCATTGGCCATCCTTGTGTTGTTGTTGTTGTTAGGTGCCATCAACTTGAGTTCAACTCATAGCAACTCTATGAAAACACATTTAAGCAAGGTGTGTCCTGGCCTGCACCATCCCCACCGTGTCTGACACAGTATGAGCCCATTTGCTGCCAGCATTGTGCCTAAGGGTCATCCTCTTAGACATCCCCAAGGAAACAAAGCATTAGTTGCCAAAAAATTCCAGGCCACCCATCCAAGCTCCCTTTGCAAACCATTTAGAGAACTTGGAAAAAGAAGTACGAAGAAAAGTGCTCATTTACCAAGCACTAGCCCTATGTCATAGTTCTCTCGTGCACACCATTTCTCTTGATTCTTGTATGAGCCTTGAGAACTGAATCCTCCCATTTCTCCTGAGACTCAGAGGTTAGTGGCTTGCCCAAAGTCATACAAAGTGTGTAGCAAGTCTCCATCTCCAGGCGTCACACCAAGAGTAAACCTTCTGAGCCTCATAGGCTGGATGGTACCCCAGGACAGTGTTCCAGGATGAGCGATGACATTGGATTTGCCTGGGTTCAAACCTTGGCTCTTCCAATTCCCTGCTGTGTGACTGACCCTCAGTGACATGTAAAACAGGGCTGTCCAGTTAATCCTTGTGAAGGGATCAGTATGGTGCCTGGTACTCACCAAAAGCTAGCAAATCATTGGGATTTTTATTCTGCGCTGTTATTATTACTTCTTGCAATCCAGAGACTTCTCAGAATGCAGTGGGGGCCGGGGGGCTTTTGGTCTCTCATCCACTCTGGACCAATAAAAGGGTCATTCCCTTTGATGCTCTGGCCTTCCATCCACTTTTGTTTATCTCCGAGAGACATTCAAAAGCTCAAAAAGATGTTGGACACTTCAAAGGCTCCTTGAAATCTGACAATTCTGCTCTTCCAAGGCAACTCAAGTTACCCTCCCAGCAGCAACCTCAGGGAACAAATACTAGCTGGAATAAAATGGACAGAGGAAGGAAAAGGTCTAGGTGCCTCAGTGTTCCAAGAGCCTCTTCCTCTCCTTTTCCCTGCTGCATGCCCCAACCTGGCCAATCCTCATAGCCAAGTCAGACTTTCTCCTTATGGAGTTTTCTAGCCTGTCCCAGTTCTTGACTCGCTTGCCAGCCCCCATGGCCCAGTGCCTGGGGAATTGGTGGCACCAGCAGGTTTGAGAGCTTCTGCTCAGAGCAGGAGTGGGTCCCCTGGGGACACCCTCAGGCTGGCCTGATCCAAGCTTGGCTCTCCTACCCCACAGAGGAGACGCTGTGGACAACTCGGGCTGATGGACGTGTCCGCCTGCGCATGGACCCCAGCTGCTCACAGCCTCCCTCCACCGTGCACCAGATGTTCTACCAGGCCCTGGACAAGTACGGTGGACTCAGCGCCCTGGGCTTCAAGCGCCAGGGCAAGTGGGAGCACGTCTCCTACTTCCAGTACTACCTGCTCTCCCGAAAAGCTGCCAAGGGCTTCCTGAAGGTAAGGCCCCTCCCTCTAGGGGTGCAACCTACCTCCTCCCTCAGACCCTCCTGCCTGTGAGATCTGATCCATCAAGGGTTCCTCCCTTCCCCAGCAAGGTCCTTTTAAGTAACAACAACAACAACTACAACTATAAAAGCCTCTACCACTTACTGAGTGAATGCTACCTGCAGAGTTTACTTGTTATCATATTTAAGGTGAACAGAAGGCTCGGGCACTGGGCTAAAGGGCCAGATCCTAGAAGGGTGGTCCCTGGAACAGTCTGGCAGTGTCTCTGAGGTGTAAATGGAAGTGTGGTGGGGCTGAGAGACCCTCCCTTGCCTGATTGACCTAATCTGTCTGTCTTTGGCCTGGAGCTCGGCCTGGAGAGGGCCCACAGCGTGGCCATCCTCGGCTTCAATGCCCCAGAGTGGTTCTTCTCAGCTGTGGGCACAGTATTTGCAGGGTGAGTAAATGGGGTAAGATGGGGTCTCCAGTTGGCTAGGGGTGGGCAGAGAATAGAGTTCTTATTTAGAACCTGGGAATATGTCCACTTTGGGGGATCCTTGCAGACTTTCCACCTTCATCCCCTACAGCTAGGACCCGCCCATCTCCCCAACACACTCCATCCCTTCCCTGGGGCTTTCCTCCATTGCCTTTGGCCTCCTTTCCCCCTGAGGTGACTGTGCAGAGATCACTGGGAGCCCTGACTTGCCTGACCTGGTCTGACAGGGTGAATTAGGGGTGGGCAGCCCCTCTGCACCTGCTCACTCTCCTTCTCTCCTGCAGTGGTATTGTCACCGGCATCTACACCACTAGCTCCCCTGAGGCCTGCCAGTACATCGCCCATGACTGCCGTGCCAACATCCTCGTGGTCGACACACAGAAGCAGCTGGAAAAGATCCTGAAGGTTTGTGAACAGAGAGGATAAAGGGACAGAGCCTAGCTGGCCTCATGGATGAGCACTCCAATCTCACAAAAGATGTCCCCATCCTCCCATCCAGAGTCTCCCTTCATCCTCCTCAATAATCACATACCGCACACATGTAGAGCAAGACAGGGTGATGGTTACCAGCCCATTTCATAGGTCGGAAAATTGAGTTCCCCAAATCATAGGCATTTGCCAAGATCACACATGAAATAATTGGTCAGGCCTTGGGTCAGGACTCCTGACTAGTCCACCACCCCAATGGCTTTCCATTCAGGAGGGATCTCTCCTGGGGGTGATGGGCAAAGGTGGTTGTATTCTCTGTGGGAGGTTCAGGATTCTACTACCTTGGGGTTTTAAGTATGACTGTAAATGGGGTGTAGAGTGGCAAAGATTTACAGCCTTGGGAAACCTATCAGCAGATCCCCTGTCTTGTATGGTCATTATGAGTTGAAATGTACTTAGTGCCAGTGAGTTTCTCAGAACTCAAACACCACCACCCCACCCCACCCCCGCATAGCCTGTCCACTGCTTCTAAATGCTCCCTGTTTTGCAGCTCAGAAATCTGAGGCCCAGAGTTAGCAAATGACCACCCCAGATTATCATTAATTTGCATTTTGAAAGTTCTCAAACCAGCAAAAATAGAAAGGAGACTATTATTTACCCTCATATAATTTTCATCCAGATGCAGCAATTACCAATGTTTCTCCAGACTAACTTCATCAACACTCCTTTCGTGCTGAAGTGTCTGGAGGCAAATCTCTGGCATCCTGTCATTTCATCCTTTAAATATGCCTAAGAAATAAGTATTTTTTTCCTTAAAAATTTACAACTTTATCATAACTGAAGAAAGGTGATTAGATGATGCTGTGCCATCTGATTTAAACGACACCCACATATTGCATGTGGTTTGTCTCTCACTATTACGTGCTATCTAGTCGACTACGACTCATAGCAACCCTGTGAACAACAGGTCTGAACTTTGCCCTGTGTTTTGCTGTTCTTTTCATCTCTGATATACTTGACGCCAATGTTACAATCACTGTGTCCCTCCATCTCATTGAAAGTCTACCTTTCATTCACTGACCCTGCACCTTTCCAGGCATGATGTCCTTTTCCAAGGACTGGCCCTAAGGGGTCCATTATTGTGGAGCAGAATCTCCACCCTTTGTTCCCATGCCAAACAGCAGTGTGATCCCAGGGCCAGTAATACCAGCATCACCTAGAAGGTCTCAGAAAGCAACTCTGGTGCCCTATCTCAGACCTCAATGTACAAGTCCACACTTTGTGTTTCAACCAGGCTCTTGGGAGATTCACACACACACACACACACACACACACACACACACACACACACGAGAGCCACCGCCTTAGACAAGCTGCAGAAACTAGGCCCACCTTCTTTTACCATGGCCCTACCTCTATAAAATCCTGTCAGGACTTATGTTGTTGTTGTTGTTGTTGTTGTTGTTGTGTACCATGGAGTTGGAAGCAACCCATAGTTGACCACCCAGTTTAATCACATGGAAGATCACCTGATAGGTAAAGGCTTGATGTTTTCTAATTAAACCTTTTTAGCAAGAACAGCCCGTAGGTGGTGCTGTGTACTACATATTGTACCATCACATGAGGCATGTGGCTTCAACCACATCTAGTTGTAGCACGTCCTCCTGGATGGCTGAGCCTGTCGATTCGGGTGGATAATAACTCATCTTCCATTGTGAAGTCCCTCACCAATCTTTCTTCTAATGATTTTAGCATCCATTGACGATCTTGGCCTGAATCAAGTATTTTATTAGAGTTGGTGCAATAATGATTTTCTAATTTATCAGGTAGTGTTCTTCTTCCAAAAGAACTAACTTTCCCTCATTCCTTGGGACCTCTTTAATACCTGACACACCTATTTGTGTAAATTAGATGTGATAGAACAATAGCCTATAAAAGATCTCTACATATTATTTCCCAAACATGCAAACATGTTCATTTACATGGCAGAAGGGATTTTGCAGAAGTTATTAAGGAAGTCCTTGTGTAGTGGCTGATGTTTCAGGCTGCTAACTCAAAGGTCAGTGGTTCAAATCCACAGTTGCTCTATGGGAGAAAGATTGTCAGTCTCACTTTTAATGATTCATAGCCTCAGAAAACCAACAGAGGGTCTCTATGGGTCAGAATTGACCTGACAGCAGTGAGTTTGGTTTAAGTCAAGGGTCTTGAGACAAGAATATTATCATGGACCATCCCAGTGGGCCCTGCATAAGCATACCCACTGCTATTGAGTTGATTCTGACTCACAGCATCCCTTTAAGACAGACTGGAACTGCCCACATGGTTTCCAAGGTTATAGAAATTTTTATGGAATCTGACCACCTCATCTTTTCCCTCATAAATGATGAATTTGAACTGTTGACCTTTTTGTTAGAAGCATAAAGTATTAACGACTGCATCACCAGGCTCTTTATAGAGACACAGGGGGTTCAGAATCAGAAAAGGAATGTCATGACTGACACAGAGGCCAGAGAGAATTAGATAAAGGTTTGAAGGTGCTATGCTTCTGACTTTTTAGTTGGAGGAAGAGAGAATGCAGACAGCTTCTAAACCTGGAAAACTCAAGGAAATGGGCCCTCTCCTAGAGCCCTCCCATGGGAGAAGGATGGGCAGTCTCCTCCCATGCAATTTACTGCCTCTGAAAACACACTTAAAGGGTCAGCTGTGAGTCAGTTCTAACCTGACAGCACACAAGAAAAGCTAGAGCCCTCAGAAGGAACTAGGCCTTTTTGGTCACCTTAGACTCTGACCTCCAGAACAGTAAAAGGCTAAATGTGTCTTGTTTTAAATCACTGAATTTGTAGAAATTTGTTACAGCTGCAAATCATTACTAAAACACACAAGATAAATGTTTCATTCTTTCCACTTACTTACCAATCTCAGGGGTTAAGAATTGATGGCTAAGGGTCGCTCTTGGTTTTGTTTGGCTTTACTTTATTTGTTGTGTTGTTTTTTTTTTACTTTATTTGTATTTTCAGGATTCTCACTTCCTTTTCCCATTTCTCTCCTCTCTCTAAGTGTCATTATAAACTTTTGGATCTTTATATACATAGGCAGACCTCAGAAATATTTCAATTTTCATTCTAGACCACTGCTATAAAGCAAATACTACGATAAAGCAAGCCACACCAAATTTTTGGTTTCACAGTGCATATGAAAATTATGTTTACATTACATTATAGTTTAGAAAGTGTGCGATAATATAATGTAAAAGTTTTAAATACTGTGAGAATTACCAAAATGTGACATAGAGACATGAAGTGATCACATGCTGTTGGGGAAATTATGCTGACAGACTTATTTGGTGTAGGGTCATGTCAAACCTTCAATGCATAAAACAAAATAAAAAACCCTATATACGTACAAAACCCATACAGTCTCTGTGAAGTACTATAAAGTGAAATTCAATAAAATGAGGTATGCACGTAATGTATTTTCATCGATCATAATCATTCTCATTTTTCCTCTGTAGTCAGTGAGAGCCCCTTTCAAACTGGTACATGTATCCTTTTGAAATTCTCCCCTCCTTCTTAGAGCTCTTCTGTACTTATTGGCACAATAAGATCTCAGGCTCATTATGTATTTTTTTGTCCAGAACTCTCAAATCACAATCAACCCACTCTCTAAAGTACATGGATCCCTTATAATGAGGAATGGTGTTGAGAGACAATAGTCTGAACATCTGAGCAACAGAAGCATCTAAATCAAGTCATTACTTTCAGTCTGATTAAGTGACCAGGCCTAGGAAGTAAATGATATTTTCAAAAAGAATTGACATTTAAAATCATACATATACTGTATAGATAGATAAGCAATAAACATTTGCATGAGTGGGTGATTTTAAATCTATCGAGTCTTATTAAGATCTTAGAATATGATCTATCTCTGTAAGTGTTCCATGCTCAATTTTTACAGTAACTTTTTGTGGTATTTTCTGTAAAGGATTATATAGTTTAGGTTCCCATTCAACAATTTCCACATGATTCAACAATTTCCACATGATTACATTTTGCATAAGTATGAACACTTTCATTTCTATTCTGGTTATTCCATTTACATTAATCTAATGTTCCTGCCCATTTATATTGTCATCTTCGAAGTAATTGTTGACTGTTTGGTTTCATACAGGTGAAATTTTTTAAGGAGTGGCATACTTGTGGGTGATACTTTTTTTCTTTAAGCTGATTTATTATTTGGCTATAAGTTGACACCAGGGATCAGTTTCCATTCAAGATTTGACAGGGCAGTAGTCTCCCAGGGAGTCATACAGTCAACAGGAAGTACGCATACATATGAAAGGAACATTCATTCAACAGTTGTTGAGGGAAAATGTTCTATGAATGACAATTAGATCTAACTGCTTGGTAGTGTGACATTTAAGTAATTTCTGTCCTTTTTGACTTCCTGTTTGCTTGTTCTATCAAATACCAAGGAAAGGAGTACTGAAATCTCCAATTAGCATTGTGGCTTTATCTATTTGTCCTTTCATTTCTAACAGTTTTGCTTCATGTATTTTAAGGCTCTGTTGTTAGGTGTATATATATAGGTAATTGTGTTCTTTGGAGGAATTGAACCTTTATCATTAAAAAAGGTCTTCTTTATCCCTGATAATATAGCTCATGTCCCAAACCTGCTTTGTCTCCAATCTAATTTTCTTATGGCTAATGTTTGTATAATGTATATTTTCATATCATTTTACTTTCCCTTTAAAGAGTCCTGGTGATACAATGATTAAAAGTTCAACTACTAACTTTAAAAAAAAAACAAAACAAACAAATTCAATGGTTCAAACTCACGAATAGCTGCATGGGGCCAGGAACCCTATCAATCTGTTCCTATAAAGATTGCAGCCTAGGAAATCCAAGAAGGCAATTGGATTATATCATACTAGTTTGCTATGAGTTGAGATCAATTTAACAGCACACAAAACAACATTTGGCTTATCTTTATCTTTTTATTTAAAGTGAGTTTCTTATTAACAGCATTTAGTTGAGCATAGAGATGTTTTTGTCTATTTGTTTAGAGGCTCTTCTTTTGTAGGGATTCATTCCCAGCTCCCTGCCAGTCCCCACCTTTGTTTTTGTTGTGTACTGTAGAGTCGGAACCGACCCATAGCTGACCCTCTGGTGGGTTTTCAAAGGCAGTTAATCCAATGGGAGGAGATTGCCCATCCTTCCCCAGCCTCAGAGCAGCTGATGGCCTCGAACCATATTCCTTAGGGATTGCAGTGCAGCTTCTTGCCACTAGGTCACCAGAACTCCCTATCCCCACCTTTACTGCTCCAATGTTCTCATGATAGAAAACTACAGGAGAAAGGGCCAAATCTCCTGCTGGAGTCAAAATCCAAAGATGACCAGCCCAACTATTTGCCACAAAGTGGTAAATCTTATCTGCTAGGAGGTAAGTCTCAGGAAGTTATTTTTTTCTTATCAAAACCTCATTTGTTTTTCTGTCAACACAGATCTGGAAACATTTGCCACATCTGAAGGCAGTAGTGATGTATCAGGAACCCCCTCCTAAGAAGATGCCCAATGTGTATACGGTATGCATAGTGGTGACTTGGGTATCAAGTGGTGCCTGCCTGGGTCCATCTAGCTGACCAGGAATGTTCATTCTCCCCACTGGGACACAGATGGAGGAACTAATGGAGCTGGGGAACGAGGTGCCGGAGGAAGCCCTGGACACCATCATCAGGGCCCAGCAGCCCAATCAGTGCTGTGTGCTGGTCTACACATCGGGCACTACTGGGAACCCCAAGGGTGTGATGCTGAGTCAGGACAATGTAGGACACATGTCCCAGACGGGTAGGGTTGGGCTGTGGGTGGATCTAGGGCAACGGACCTCCTTGACAGCCCCTAAGGAGGGTTCTTCTGGTTTCTCAGCTCACAGAACTGAGATGAAATAGGACAGTCGGTTGTCTGTGGTCTAGATTAAGCCCATCAAAGGGGAAGTGGAGGGATGTGACTCCAGCTCGTAGTTTTCCAAGCCTGAAGAGATACCTGAGAGTATGCCCTTTGGAAGGGGTCCTTAAAGAAGCAGTCCTAGGTCCCCGCAGTGACCACAGATGTAATAAGCAATGCGGATACCAGCTTGTGGACATTTCTGGGACACTCCTGCCTGTTCTCCAGATCACGTGGACAGCTCGGTTTGGTAGCCAAGCCGGTGAAATCCAGCCAGCTGAAATCCAACAGGAGGTCGTGGTCAGCTACCTGCCCCTCAGCCACATTGCTGCCCAGATCTACGACCTGTGGACTGGCATCCAGTGGGGAGCCCAGGTCTGCTTTGCAGAGCCGGATGCCCTGAAGGTCAGTCTTTTTCTCTGCCAGGTGGGTGTCCGTGTAGGTGTGGACTCAGGCTTGCTGGTCTTACGTATGGATTTATTCTGGGTTTTGACCAAGAAGGGAAATTGATCACATGAAACAAAGTCCAGACTGGTTCAAAGTGTCCAGAACATCTTTAAGCATGGGTCATCATAAAATGCCGGTCACAAGTTGGACACAAACTCCCCAAACCCTAGCATTCTACAACCAACTTTTTAACAAGAGGAAAATTTTCCCATAAACCCCATAACGCACTCCCTCGCATCTCATTGGCTCTAGTGATATCACGTGGCCACATCTAAACCAATCACTGCTTAGGGGCTAGAGAGGCTCCGCTCCCACTGGCTGGGAAGCAGTTGAAGTTAATTTGAAGCACGAGACCATCCTGATCCCTGAATGAGAGCAAAGAAAGGTAAAGTGATGGCTGATGAGTGGATATTGTGGCTTATCGCCCTGTTGGAACCAACCCCTAGCTGACCCTCAGGCAGGTTTTCAGAGGCACTGGAGGAGATTGTCCATCCGTCTCCCACGGAGCAGCTGGTGGATTTGAACTGCTTGTCTTTGGGATTAAAGCGCAGTTTCTTGCCACTAGGCCACCAGTGCACCCTGGTGATGAGTGGATAGCCCAGAGTATTTTCCATAAGTCAGGTGCAGGTGTGTGAATGCACCTGTATGAGCCTGTGTGTATACAGGCTTGCCTGAGCAATTTGTGCGTGTTTGAGTGGTAACAGGGGTTTCCTGGACCCCAACTGGTCCTGAACCAGCAGGCTTGCCCTCTTGCTGACTGTAAATAGGGGAGCTTGGTGAACACCCTGCGAGAAGTGGAGCCCACATCCCACATGGGAGTCCCACGGGTGTGGGAGAAGATCATGGAGAGAATCCAGGAGGTGGCATCTCAGTCTGGCTTCATTCGTCGCAAGATGCTGCTGTGGGCCATGTCCGTGACCTTGGAACAGAACCTCAGCTGCCCGAGCAGGTACAGAGATTTGGGGAGGCAGACAGGCTGAATCGTAGCCAAGGGCTTGATAAGTCAGGCATGTCTGGTTTCTTTGACCTATCAGTTCTAGGACCCTTGTATAGAGGCCCTGTCAAAGGCTTCGTCCTTTTCCCATGCCGCATTAGGGCAGTTCACCCATCTTGGGGTTCTACCTAGGAAGACTGACTTATATCCTCTGTGAGTGGATCCTTCCCTCGAAGTGTGACTACAGAGTGGCCTCTGTGGTGGAGATGCCCTTCCCAAGAGCATCCAAAGTAACCACAAGGATCTCAACTCTTTTATTTGCGTTTTTAATTCCGCCAATGTTGATATATTTAGAAGGGTCGATGGAGGAAAGGTGGCTCGGTTTCCATTTAGGAATTGTTTACATGACAAATGTGCCTGAAACTCTATCACATTTTTGAAACATATATACATATGTCTGCACACCTACACCTTCCTTTGCACATATCTGAGGAGTGACTATGCATGAACAAACACTCATGGGCTTCCAGTGGGATATACATACGTTTGTGCATATGTGTCTATGCATGTATACTCTCAGTTCTGTTGAGGACCAATATCATGGAATCTGCTTAAATAAAAACAAGTTTATTGAGAAAGAGAGTCAGTCCAGACTGGGGAGACATACATTGTCACACTGTGAAAATGGACGCTCCACTAGAGCACACAAAAAGGATAGATTCTTACAACCAGGAGAAGATAAAATAGATGAATGGGACCTTCTAAGAATCAAATTCCTGTGCACATCCAAAAACTTCTCCAACAGGGTAAAAAGGGAAGCCACAGACTGGGAAAAAGTATTTGGTAATGACATGTCAGATAAGGGACTTATATCTAGAATTTATAAAATACTTGAGCACCACAACAAGATAAAGGTAGATAATCCAATAGAAAAATGGGCACAGGATATGAACAGACACTTCACCAAAGAAGACATTCAGATGGCCAACAAGCACATGAAGAAATGTTCAAAATCCCTAGCTCTAAGAGAGATGCAAATCAAAACAACTATGAGATATCATCTCACCCCAGACAGAATAGCAAAATTTAACAGAACAGCAAGCAACAAATGCTGGTGAGGTTGTGGAGAAACTGGAACCTTTATTCACTGTTGGTGGGAGTGTAAAATGGTGCAACCACTGTGGAAGGCTGTATGGCGCTTTCTCAAAAAGTTGCAAATAGAGATACCATTTGACCCAGCAATTCCATTACTGGGAATATATCCCAAAGAGACCATAACTGACATCCATGCAGATATATGCACACCTATGTTATTGCGGCTCTGTTCACAATACCAAGGAGTTGGAAACAACCCAGGTGCCCATCAACAAACGAATGGATAGAGAAGCTCTGGTATATTCACACAATGGAATACTACGCTGCATTGAAAAACAAGGAACTCATGCAATATTATTCAAAATGGGTGAGCCTGGAGGACATTATGCTGAGTGAAATATCTCAGATGCAAAAGGACAAATATTGCATGGTGCCACTGTTGTAAAATGGGACTGATATCAGGGTTGGGGTAAGACTGAGAAAAACTGGATGGATTGTGTATACTGCACTGAAACAGATGAAGGAGTGAATAATTTAAAAGCGATGTATGATAGGGTCTTACGGTTATCACAGGAGTCCACAATTAAGGTTGCATAGTGGAATGTACTTGGGGCGGTGGGAGGGGTGCAGGGGGATTGTGTACCAGGGAAGGAGTGTTTCTTTTACTTTTGAAAGAGAGGAGCGAACTGGGGGTGGGGGGAGATGGGCAGGGAGGGAAGTGGGGCAATGAATGAATGGAAATCCAAGATCTCTGTAGATACTCATTAAAATTATTTTTTAAAAAAATAAAAAGGATAGATTCTTAAATTATTAGATCAGGAACTAAGGATTACAAAATACCGTCAGGGGAGTTAAACAAGTGAAAGCTTGAGAGTGGTAAATATATAACATAAATGAGATCATATGACTGATCAAAGACACATGCCATGTCATCCAGTTTATTTCAGGGTGGTCCCTGGATCACAGAAAGGACCAGTTTTTCTGACAACCTATCAGTAGAATTGCTTCCTTAATCATGTGTCTGTTTCAGGGGCCCTATTGTAAAGATTAAAGAATGCTGTATTGCAGGACCCTTTGCATCTTTTGGAAATAGAGTAGCTATCCTACATAGGTCAGACTTCAGAGAAAAGGAATGTTGTCCTTGGGGTATATGGCCAGTTCAGTCCTCAAGATTAAGGAATTGCCATTTGAAAAGGCATTTTAAAATTCCAAATCAGATTCCAAATTCATTGCAAGACTTTAAAATGGAGTTAAGACTGCTTTCAAACTACCTTATTGGCACACAAACCAAGTGCCTCTGATTTCAGACTTTCTTAACATTTCTGCATATGTGTATTCTTGTGTGTGCAAATTTGCACATATTTGTGTTATCTGTACAAAGTTGAGTCCAGTTGTATGCCTTCTAGCTCAAAAGACATACGTACACAAGTACATACATGAAAACATACATTTACATTCATGTGTGTTCACGGGCAGGGCCAATATCCAAAATAGTAGCATTGACACTAATTAGTCAGAAGATGAGTCAGAAGCCACTAGAGTGGCTGTACCAGTGCACCTATTAAAACAACAACAACAAAAAATCAACAAGCACCAAACCCACTGCTGTTGATTCCAACTCATGGTGACCCTTTAGGACAGAGGATACTGACTGCTGTATAAAGTTTTCCAGACTGTAAATCTTTTTGGAAGCGGACTGCCACATCTTTCTCCCTTAGAGCAGCTGGTTGATTCAATATGCCAACTTTTCAGTTAGCAGCCCAATGTGTGTGTCATAATATACTATATCAATAGGGCTTTTTGTCTGTTGAATACCCAGCCTTTTAAAATGTGTATGTTTTCTTCAGTTGACTCTTTTCCCTCTCCTGTCAGTGACCTGAAGCCTTTCACAGCCAGACTGGCAGATTACCTGGTGCTAGCCAAGGTTCGCCAGGCACTGGGCTTTGCCAAGTGTCAGAAGAACTTCTACGGGGGAGCCCCCATGACTGCTGAGACACAGCACTTCTTCCTGGGCCTCAATATCCGCTTGTATTCAGGCTATGGGCTCAGTGAGACCTCAGGCCCTCACTTCATGTCCAGCCCCTACAACTACCGCCTCTACAGGTGAGGGATATTCATGTGTCCCGAGGACCAGCCTGCTAAGAGGCCATGGAGACCCTTTCCTCTTTCCATATTTATTGTGTACCAGAAGCCAAGCCACACCCAGTTGGCAATATTGCCATCTTGACCAAATCTCTTCTCTGAGCCTCAGTTTCCTCCTCACTTAATCAAAGATGGGGTCGTGGTCTCTGTCTCTATGTCACAAAAAACTGTGCCTAAAAGTATCTTAGTAGCCCTTAACACCTCTTGAACATGGTTCCTGTGGTGGAGAAATCGCCCTTGACTCTCTCCTGCCAGTGGGATGGAATGTGTTAGAGGATGTCCTGGGATAAATGATGGCCCACGTTCCAGTAGCTGTCAAAGTAGGGGATGTGCTAGTCTCCTGGAGGGTAGGCAGTTGTGGAAGTGATTTGAAGTATCATCTGTTGAGTTTAGAAATACCTCTTCTCTGGCCATAACAGGGCTTCGGTTTCCCATTAGCATTTCATTCGTTCGTTCCTCTCCTTAAGAAAATTTCCAAGAACTCCATCTTTCAGCTTCAAATAGAAACACCTCCGAGAGATGATCCTTACAACCAATAGGGAAGGCTAAGAGGTTGCCCCCACCCTGCCCCAGAGGCAGGTGGAAGCGGCTCCCTCTCAAGTTCCCCTCCCTCTGACCACGCCTCCCACCCTGCCCCCAGCTCTGGCAGGTTGGTGCCAGGCTGCCGGGTGAAGCTGGTGAATGAGGACGCGGAGGGCAACGGGGAGATCTGCCTGTGGGGCCGCACGGTCTTCATGGGCTATCTGAACATGGAAGACAAGACGTGCGAATCCATCGACGCAGACGGCTGGCTGCACACTGGCGACGCAGGCCGCCTGGACGCAGATGGCTTCCTCTACATCACCGGGCGCCTCAAAGGTGAGCTTGCCCTGCTGGGCTGGTGACTGCAGCGGGCTGGGAGGCAGAATAGCTCGCCACTAGCTCCACCACCACAGAGCGCTGATAGCTTAGTGGTAAAAGCTGCGTTACGACTCCAAAGGTACATACATGGTTCAAATCTATCAGTTTCTCCATGCTCTCCTTTGCTATTAACTGCTTCTGGGTTGGGTCTCCCCAGGAGAAACTAGGGAGTTTTCCAGGGGAAACTAGGGAGTTTGTGAGCAGCAACCCTGTGAGAATTTCCACTGGTGGAGAATTAAAGCTCTAGGAGTGGAGAAACAACTTTCTAGAAATCACACCTATGCCAGTGTTTGACTAAGCTGGGATTGAACTGGTGTGCAAGCTGGTGCAGGACCTCAGGGTGTTTGGGATGTGAGATTCGAATGGCAGAGTCTAGACCTATAATCCTGCACGCTTTGGCAAGACAGGTGGCACAGAGCAGAGCAGGCTCCCCCCTGAGTGCAGATGGTGAGGAGACCACGTCTCTGATGACTGTACCAGGGACCCACATACCAGCACCCAAAGGGATAGTAATCTCCCCTCCCATCCCCATGTCCCCACAACTTTCAGAGCTGGTGAGAGGTTTAGTTGTGCTTATTTCCTCCTGTAATGGCCTTCTGTACAGTAGAAGGAAGCTTTTCTATGTCCGGCTCTATCTTCATGTTTGTGGTATGTTTGAATCCAGTGCTGGAGCTCTGCTAACGGTCCATCTCATTAAGGGTTTTTCTTGACCCTTTTACCTTACCGGCCTAGCAAAAATCTTTCCTGATGTCATCCAAGGTAAAAGTCCAAGGAGTTTTCTGCATCTAAGATGGACTGGTTCATTTTTCTGACAGTCCACCTAAGTTCCATACTCTTCATCACACCACAGTTAAAATGCAACCACCCTGTCTTCTTGTTGAGCACATGAGGTAATAGGGAGTGGTCCAGATGTATTTTCTCCATATAAGTACTCAGCACTTATTACGACTTTAAACGACTGGAACAGCACATCAACAGAGAACTACCAGAAGTCCAGGCTGGTTTCAGAAGGGGTCGTGGTACTAGAGATATTGTAGCTGATGTTAGATGGATCTTGACTGAAAGCAGGGAATACCAGAGGAATGTCTATCTGTGTTTCATTGACTATGCAAAGGCATTTGACTGTGTAGATCATAACAAACTGTGGCTGACTCTGAGAAGAATGGGAATCCCAGAACACTTGATCGTTCTAATGCGAAACTTATACTTGGACCAGGAGGCAGTCGTCAGAACAGAGCAAGGGAACACTGCATGGTTCAAAATTGGGAAGGGCGTACACCAGGGATGCATCCTATCTCCATACCTTTTCAACCTATATGCAGAACAGATTATCCTGGAGGCTGGGCTCTATGAGGAGAAATGTGGGGTCAAGATTGGTGGATAAATTATCAACAATCTGTGTTTTGTGGATGACACAACCCTGCTTGCTGAAACTGAGGAGGACCTGAAGTGCCTGCTGCAGAGTGTCAAGGACTGCAGCCTACAATATGGATTGAGGCTCAATGTCAAGAAGACAAAGATTCTCACTACTGGACCAATTGGCAGCATCAGGATGGATGGTGAAGAGATTGAGATTGTACACAGCTTTAGTTTGCTTGGCTCCATAGTCAACAGTCTTGGCACCAGCAGCCAGGAAATTAAAAGGCGCATTGCCATGGGAAAGTCTGCTGTTGGGGACCTCTCCAAAGTGCTGAAGAGCAGTGGTGTCTCTCTGGAGACTAAGGTGCGTCTGATACAGACCATGGTCTTCGCAATCACCTGTTATGCATCAGAGAGTTGGACAATGACCAAGGAGGATAGAAGGAGAATTGATGCCTTTGAGCTGTGGTGCTGGAGAAGAGTATTAAGAATACCATGGACTGCTAGGAAAACAAACAGCTTTGTCCTGGAGAGGGTTAAACCAGGTGGCTCCTTGGAGGCAAGGATTCTGAGGCTCCGTCTAACTTACTTTGGACATGTTGTGAGGAGAGACCGGTCCTTGGAGAGGGACATCATGCTTGGGAGGGTGGAGGAACGGCGCAGGAGAGGAAGGCCCTCTATGAGGTGGATTGATTCAGTGACTGGGATAATTGGGATGGGAGTGTCAGAGACAGTGAGATTGGCACAGGACAGAGCGGAGTTTAGGGCTGTTGTACATAGGTTCGCTATGAGTTGCAGGCGACTCGACGGCACATAACAACAACAACAACAAGTACTCAGCTGATCCTGTACCCTCTCTTGAAAAGGCCTCTCTTGTCCCCTTGCCATACAGTATTGCCACAGTCACAAGTCAAGTGATTCTGGGTAAAAGGCCTCTTTTTGGACTTTGCTCTGTTTCATTGTTTATCAGTCCATCACTACCCCAGTGTCCTAATTCTTGTTCCTTTATGATAGGCTTGATACCTAATTGTGTGAACTTTACAGCCTTGGTTTTAATCTTTAAGAGGGCTTTGGATGGTTTTGACTATGAATATTACGATCACTGAGTCAATTTTCAAAAAGAAAGGAATGTAGGAATGTTTTAGTCCAGTGAATATATAGGTTGATTTGGTGAGAAAAAGACATTTTTACAATATTGTGTCTTCCTGTCCATAAATAAGGGAGTGTTGATGGCTTAGGGGTAAGGACTTAGGCCGCCAGCCCCAAGGCATGCAGTTCAAATCCACTACCTGCTCCACACCAGGAAGATGGGCAGTCTCCTCTCATGTAGTTTACTGCCTTTGAAAAACCCACTGGAGGGTAAGCTACTTGTCAGTTTTTATTCAATTGTACATAACAATAACAACAATCTGTAAATATGGTATACCAGAACATAAGTCCAGCTCATTGCCGTGGGGATGACTAATTCATGGTGACCCTCCATGAGGTTTCCTAGGCTGTAAATCTTAGTAAGAGAAGACTGCCTCACCTTTTTCCCATGAAGCAGCTGGTGGATTCCAACCTCAGACCTTTTGGGTGAGCAGGTTAGGTTCAAGTACTATAATTCTAGAAATAAGAGGATTTAAACCTCTTTTATTTACTCTAACACTGTCCCTTTGCATAATCTACATCTCTATGCCAATTATATTAGGTGTAGGTTCAAGTCCTAATATTCTAGAAATAAGAGGATTTCAATCTCTAGAATTTACACTATCAAAGGCCCAACACATAACTTACTAAACCACCACAGGGTGATTGTTTTCATTTTTAGTGTGAAGATATTTACATATATTTCCTTAGACTTGCTCTTATGCCTTTAATATGTGATTTAATTTGTGTGGATACACAATCAGCAGAGCAGCTGAGGACCTCAAACCCCATGCATCCAGATTGCAGTGCAGCCTCTTGCCACTAAGCCACCAGAGCTCCCTCTAATATGGGATGTTATTATAAATAGTAACATTTTACGATTTGTTGCTTTCTGGTTTTGTCAGTTTATAGAATTGTGATTGTTTTTTTAAAAAATATGGACTTTGTATTTCTTGACCTTCCTAAAGTCACATATTAATTCTAATAGTTTGTAGATTATTAAGGGATATTCTGTGGTTATAGCCTTGTCATCTGCTAATACTAGCAGTTTTGTTTTTCCTTTCTGCATTAGTTTTCTGTTGTTAGGTGCCATCAAGTCAACTAAGACTTATAACAACAACCCTATGATCAACAGATCTGAACCTTGCCCTCATCTGTTTCATCCTTATGACCTCTGTCATGCTCAAGACCATTATTGTCACTCCATCTCATGGAGGGTTTTCCTCTCTTTCACAGATGTAGTACCTTTCCCAGCATGATGTCTCTCTTCAAGGACTGACTTTTACTGAAATTATGTTCTAAGCAAGTGAGGGGAAGCTTCATCATCCTTGCCTTTAAGGAGCACTCTAACTGTACTTTGTTCAAAACACATTTATTTGTTCTTTTGGCAGTCTATGGGATATTCAAAATACCTTACCAACACCACAATTCAAGGGCATCAGTAATTCTTCTTTCATCATTATTTATTGTCCAACTTTCAGATGCATAGGAAGCAAATGAAAATTACAGTGCCTTAGGTCAGATGTACCTCAGTCTTTAAACCATCATTCTTGCTCTTTAGAACTTCACAGAGATCCGTCAGAGCAGATTTACAGCACATCTTTTGACTTCTTAACTACTGCTACAATGGGTGTTGATTATGAATCCAAGTATTGTGAAATTGTTGACAGCTTTAGTCTTTGCTTCATCTATCATGATGTTGAAAAGGTATGGAGACAGGACACATCCCTGGCATACGCCCTTCCCAATTTTGAACCATGCAGTGTTTCCTGGCTCTGTTCTGACGACTGCCTCTTGGTTCAAGTATAAGTTTTGCATTAGCATGATCAAGTGTTCTGGGATTCCCATTCTTCTCAGAGTCAGCCACAGTTTGTTATG